GAGAGGGAGAGAGGAGAAGAGAGAGAGGAGAGAGAGAAAGAGAGAGGAGAAAGAGGGGACGAGAGGAGAGAGAGACAGAGAGGAGAGCAGTCATTACATGATGACAGTAATGAGAGGAGAGTGCGACAGGGGGTGATATGAGGAAAGAGTGAGGAAGAGGAGGAGAAAGAGGAAATGAGAGAGAGAAAGGTGGGAGAGCGAAGAGAGGATGAGAGGAGAGATAGAGGGAGAGGCAGCAGAGATGAGAGATGATGAGAAAGAGAGAGAGACTAGATAGAGCGAGAACGGGATAAGACGAGAGCGAGAGAGACACCAAAGAGCAGCAGAGTGTGAGAGCAATGAGAAAAGAGAGAGAGCGCGCGATGTGGGCAGATGGCAGCACCCGAATGAGCCCCTCACGGCAGCCTCCGGCACCTGGTCACCGCGAGAAGCCATCACCTGCCGCTGGACTTGGCAATCGCGTGGAGTGCGGGGCGGCGCCGAGCGTCGAGCTAGGCACTCCATCAACGGACATCGCACGTTGCTTGCTGGCGTGAGCGTGAACCGCCCGCCGGCCGCCGCTGCAGGAGCGCCTGTCGGGTGCAGGTCTGCCAAACTTATCGCTGACACGAAAGGGAGGAAAGAACATGAATTTCAGGAGTAGATAAGGATTTCTATTTTACTCCTGTTATTATGTTTATGCAGGGTTTCTTATACAGATGAGGCACAAGTGCGCATCGCCTTGTCAAGTTTAAAATCGCATATTCGCAGAAAATGTTCAAATGCAGTCTATGGGGGCTGGGTGACCCCCCCCCCCTCCCCACAACGAACTCCCTCTCCCTCCCTCCCATTCCGCCTGCCAGCGTCGCGAATGTGTGCCTGCCGGTACACGTCAATCTCCTTTGAATCCATCATGTGCGTGCTTTTTCCCAAACTGCCGCGCATTACTCTTTTGTCTAAATTTTCCCTCAAGAAAAAAGCCCTGCAATGTATATTATATAATATATGTGTATGTAATTTGTTATAATCATATAGGTGTGTGATGCTGTGGTGTGTGTGTGTGTGTGTGTGTGGGTGTGTGTGTATGTGTGTAAATGTACAAACATATAGATATCAGGAGCAGATAATGACAAATGACGATTTGTCATTATCTACCCCTGAAATATATGTATATATGTGTATGTGTATGAGCTTATGTACGCAAATACGAATTTAACTATATGTGTCCTAATTCACACAAACTTTTCTGATCTAAAGCCTATTATGCTACGAAGCTGATATGTTTACGACATATTCACAGTTGCTAAGCAACCAACATCGCAACCATGGCAACCGCTGTCATTGCTAAGCAACATCAACAATGTCATCATGAACATCGCGATTACTAAGTCACTAAGTCACTAAGTCACTAAGTCACTAAGTCACTAAGTCACCGTTGCTAAAGCAAACATCGCCATCACCAAGTGTCAATCATCGTTGCTATAACGATTACTAATTGCTAGCAACCGTTGCTAGGCGACCGTTGCCCCGCGCGCGCGCGCGCACCTTCGTATGTCGATGGAGAGAACCGTCGCGAAGAAGAACAGCTGCAGGAAGAAGTCCGAGACGAGTCCGATCACCGCGAACGCGCAGAACTCCTGGATCGCCGGAACGAACGTGAAGAAGCCGACGGCGAGGATGAACAGCTCCGCGCACAGGTTCTTCGTGATGCTCCAGCCTTCGCGCGCGAGTCCCTGCGCGATGCGCAGCCTCACGTCGAGCGCGACGGGCGTCGCCACGACGCTCCTCGTTAGCACGAGGATGTTCTCGAGACCGACGATCACGATGAGATACGGGAACACCTCGCCCTTGTTGACGGTCGGCGCGAGCCCGAAACGCGTGCAGACGGAGAGCGCCATGAGCGGCGACGCGACCACCATGACGACGGCGGCGACGGCGAGCCCCCACTTCGACTTCACCATCTCGATCTTCTGCACGGAGAAGAAGACGTAGAGGAAGAGGATGACGTACATGACGAAAAGGTTCACGTACTCGACAACGCCGGCGTGCTCCTTGTAATACAGATGAACGATCCCTGTGGCGTCGTCGTCGTCGTCGTTCGCCGGCGCCCCCTGGGGGAACGCGGCGGCGAGGCGGGCGGAGAGGGCGTCGACGAAGGCCGGGTCGTAGTCGCGTAGCGCGATCGTGACGGCGTAGGTGAGCACGCGGGGGCGCGCGAGGGCAAACAGACGCTTGAGCCCGACCTCCTTCACGGGGACTCCGAAGGCGAGGTCGCGAGGGGTCAGCGGCGAGTCGGGCAGCTTCCCCTGGTGGTGGAACGCGGTGCCGACGACGTCGGCATCCGCCTGTAAGAATAGTGTGCGTGGGTTAGGGGTGGCGCCATCTACGGGGACACGTGGTAGATTCCTCTGCCTCACCTCATCTTTCTCTTTCTTTCTTACTCTTTTTCTTCCCTAGCCCTTTACTCTCTCATTCTTTTGCCATCTCTTTTCCTCCTCCCTCTCCTTCTCTATCTCTTCCCCCCTCTCTTCCTCTCCTCATCCCTCTAACATCTCTCTCCACCTACTCTCCATCTCCCTCCCTCTCTCTCTCCTTCCCTCCCTCTCCTCTCTCACCACGCCCTCTCTCTCGTCCTTCCATCCCTCTCTTCTCTGCCCGGTCCCTCTCTCTCGTCCTTTCCCTCCCTCTCTCTCTCCCGTCCTCTCTCTCCTCCCTCCCTCTCTCTGCTCCCTCCCTCTCCGCTCTCTCTTCTCCCTCCCTCTCTCTACCTCTCTTTGCTCCCATCCTCCTCCGTCTATCATCTCTCTCCGCTCCCCCTCCTCCTCCTCTCTCCCTCGTCCCACCCCGCGCTATCGCATGCTGCAATCAGCGTTCTAGCCTGAAAGCTTGCGTAGGTGCGTTGCTCCAGATCCGCCGTAACGACATCGACTAGTCACCTGAATTCCGGCATGACGCGCGCGCGACGGAGGCTGGCGTCACCGTTCATCCGACTACATGCACACAGTAGTGCACGCTGCGAGGAAGAAAGATCACGATGTCAGCGAGGATGCATGAAAGAAAGCATCGTGACAAAGATAATGAACTAGAGCACTCGCGAGAGACAGACCTCCGCCAAGGCACAGTCTGAATTACTCTCAATGTGAATTTTTTATGTAATTAATTAAATTAATTAAGTGGAACATTAATTTAAATAATTAAATTGGATCGCGGAATTAGTTGCGAGCGTCAGCGTGGGGGAGGACTCGTGGTTGCCCCTCAGCCTGTGCTTGCGTATGTTGTAAGTCTTACAGCCAGCGACACCTCAGCCGGACGAGTGAACTGAATCTGTGCATGGTAACACACAACACACTAAACCAACACTCAAATGACACGCGCGGTGAAACATTAACCCTCCGCCAGCCCCTGTTGGAGGTAAACATGATGAGGCATGGCCGTTGCGCGCAACGAAGCCACGTTTCACCCGTCTCTGACACAATGCGCACAGTTACTGTCACCCTGCTGGAAGGGAACTTGAGCAGCAAGCGTTGTTCGATTGCCAGCGATGGGGATGCCAGCGATGGATGCGCGAGATCAGCGAGGAGCAGCGAGGATGCAGCGATGGATGCACGGAGGATGCAGTGCGAGGATGCAGCGAGGATGCAGCATGTAGCAGTGATGACGCATGGATGCCAGCACAGACAAACGCAAATTTACTTAAGGCGGACGAAATCCGATCCACTAACCACTATACGAGTAAATACGCACCCCTTTACAAGCATAAACTCCCATATTTAAAAGCAAATATTACCCCATTTAACAAGTCATAATAGTAATCCCTATTTAAAAGCACAATTATAGCTACCCCATTAAAAGCATATAGTATCCCTATTTAAAAACACAAGATACCCCCATTATAAGTGTCAAAATAGTAACGGCCTATTTCCAGGACTGCACGCCACCAAAGACATTCTTACAAATGGCAGGACTTTGGCAGATTTCCATCGTGCCCCGCTGAGACGCCATACGTCCTCCGCTACGACCCCGTGACATCACCTACTAGTGTGTCAATACGGTTTGTAATTTCGTAATGCAATCGATCGTTAGACGCCAAGTAACGCGATGATCGGTTACATAAGATCGGTTACTCGGGGTGTTAATGCCTGCGTGTGCGTAACTGTCGTGTGGGCATGTAACGTGTGTGCATGTATGGCTTGTTTAGCGCTGTTTAGCTGTTTGTTTTGCACTGTTTACTACTGTGTGTATAGATACATGTTATGTTAATGATAAGGATAACTTGTAATATAGCGATGATATTCTGATTCGGGCATTCACATTTTCAGAAATTTTTTTTCCGATGAATAGATATGGATTTTGTTAAAGCGCAAGACAGATTGTTCTGAGCCAGCTGTTCAACGCGATGATCGAGTAAATCAATGATCGTGACATCACTACACACACGACCCTGCGAACCCAGCACGCCGCTCACCTAAGCGCCTCATCACTGTCCATCACGGTGACCTTGAAGGAGTTGATGACGTCGACGACGTCAAAGACCTTGCTGAGGGGCGCGCGGAACGCGTCCGGTGGGATCAGCTGCTGGTCGGCTACCCAAAGGGACCTCACGACTGCCTTCACCAGCCACCTGTAACACACACAACATGATGCTTGCACACTTGCTTATTGTTATTTCCCCTCTCGCTCTTCTCTCTCTCTCTCGTACTCTCGTCGTCTCCTCTCTCGGCTCTCTCTCCTCTCTCTGCTCTCTTCCTCTCTCTCGTCTCGATCTCTCTCGTCTCTCTCTCTCTCTCTCTCTCGATCTCTCGTCTGCTTCTCCTCTCTCTCTCCTCTCGCTCTTCTCCTCTCTCTCTCTCTCTCTCTGCTCTCTCTGCTCCTCTCTTCCGTCTCTCTCTCTTCTGCTCATCACATCTCTCTCTCTCTCTCTCTCCCTCTCTCTCTCTCTCGTTCTCTCTCTCTCTCCGCTCTCGGCTCTTCTCTCCTTTTCTCTCTCTCTCTCTCTCTCCTCTCTCGTCTCCTCTCATTCTCTCGGTCTCTCTCTTCTCTCTCTCTCTCTCTCTCTCTTTCTCTTTCTCTCTCTATCTCTCTCTCTCTTTCTCCTCTCTCTCTCTCTCTCCCTCTCTCTCGTACCCACCTGCTGCATGTATGCCATCGGGGATCCGTTGTACCAGCGCGGGCGGAACGTCTCCGTCCCGTTCGTCTGCCGCAGATACTCAAACTCCTTCCGCGTCGTCGCAAACTCGACGGGCGCGTTGCCGGGCAACGGGAAGCGCGTCAGCGGGTAGCAGACGTAGCAGAAGAGAACGATGACGAAGAGAATCATCGCGTAGGGGTGGCTGGAGCAGAAGAGGCCGTGGTGGTGGTAGAGGCAGGAGACCGCCTCCCTGCACCGCGCCAGCCCTCTAGGGGGCGCCGGCTTCTCACGCTGTTCCATCGCTGACAGCGGTCGTTCGCACGTTCTACTGTTGTTTCGGCTGCGCACTCGTCATTGCCGTGTGATTATCGTTCGGGGTAGATTGACGCGTCTGAAAGAGAATAAACCAGGGCATGAAATTGGCCAAAATTTGAACAGGCCCACCCAAAATTTTAAACAGGCCCTTTACTTAGACTTTACTTACTTAGACTTTACTTAGACAAATTGAACAAACACTTACAAGTTTGAACAGGCACATAATTTTTCTCAATTTATTCCATTATTAATAAAAGTATTAGCTTTGTGTTTATTAGGCATACTCGTAGTATTTATTTGCACAGAGTAAGTTAGTAGTAAGAGGTAGAGTAATTTAAATTAGCGCATCTTAGCACATTTTAGCAAAATTAAATATGAAAAGTGTTAAAGAACACTTAGTGAAGTAAAAACTAGTCAGGAAATTGGTAAATATTGTAAGTAATTTGATATAAAGGCAAGATAGGAAAAATTTTGAATAGGCCAAGTGGACTGATTATATGGGGGAAGGGGGGTTCAGGGGTGGTTTAGGGGGTGGAACCTGTGGCGGCCGGCAAAATAGCGCCAATTTCGCAAGCTGTAAAAGTAAGAGTAAATAATCTAGTTAGATCGTAGGTGTGTTCGGAAGAATGGAGTTGATATTCCTGCAAAATTTAGCCAAAATGCAAAACTTAGCCTACTATATATGCTAACTAGGACCATTTTATTGTGTATTATTCATTTATTATTTATTTTGACATTGTATGCGTGTATCTGCCTAGTAAAATAATGGGAATATATTGCAAGGTCATTTCAAAGACTTTTGCATAGAAAGTATATATATATATGATTGTGGGTGCTATCTTATCGATGAATGTTATAACAGCGTTTTTTCTTCTCCCTTCCTTGGCAGTGCAGGAACATATACTGTCATTGGAAACGTGTACATACAGATATGACTCCCACTATATATCTGAAAAATAACCGCAACGCAATATTTGAAGTTTATGTTTTCATTATAGTAACGACTAGGATAAAATACAACTTTTTAATGTAACTTTTCCAATTTTTAAATTTTCAATTCGGATTTATTATTCACAAGACTGTTACTGTTACATACATTAGTTTTGTTATATATAAATATCTTTATTGTAAATACCCCCCCCCCCAATACTTATATGATTTTCTGCTCTAGTTAATGTTGCCATCGATGACTCACACACACACACACACACATATATATTAATGAGAGTGTCAATGACACTGTAGCTCACCATGAGTGTGATAGAAGAGGGAGGGGGGATATATAAAGCAAGAGTATATATGGGAGAACTCCCATATATATATATATAGCATATCTCCCATTATATACTCTTGATAATGATGATATATGAGTAATTTTTGATGCGAAAATAAATGTTTCAGATCTGTTGGCATACAATCTGATGGCGTTGACCGTAGGCAGACACTGAAATGCATAGTGAAATTGCCAAAATCGACCTAATTTGCATAATTAAAAAAACAAAACCGTGTGATATGTTTTGGGGCCAATCCTTATTCATTCACATACCAGAATTGAACAAAATCTGTTGAACCTGAACTGACTTATGGCCATTTCCATTTTTGCCAAAAAGTGGACGTCGCTCGAAAGTAGGTCGACCGGCGTGCTCCAAAATAGGACGTTCAAACTTCTCCCATAGGAGTAACAACTATATGCAATTTGAAACATGTGGGTCAAACGGTTCCTGAGTTGTCGTTGACTGTAGCCAAATGTTGACGGACGAACGGACGTATGACGGACGACACCCCATGGCAATAGCTCATCTTGAGTCGACGATGTCAAGGTGAGCTAACAACTAGATCAAAGCCTGGGTTGTTAAATTCAAAATCAATAGCTGTTAATTGACCCATCCCTCTTAGCAAGATAACAACACACTGCTGGGATCTTGTTGCTAGGGTGGCCCAGCTTGATCAGCTATCATGAATTTTTCACTCGTGCATTCAAAAGCGTCAACTTTGCAGCACTGCTCCGTTGCCAAGTATTGTTTTTACTGCTCTTTTACTTTAACATCCTATCGCAAGAATGACTGGCTGGAGATGCCAGTCAAGTAAGCTATGGTGAACTATAAGTAACGCTCATAGGGTCTATGTCTCCCAAGGTACTGCCGGAACGTACCCTGGGTACAGTCCAGAACATACCCTGGTAACTATCTGATATGCATGGTTAGGGTTAGGGTTAGGGTTAGGGTTAGGGAGTAGGCGTAGGTGACTCCCTAGACTCGTTAGTGGAGTAGGCGAGGTACGGTCCGGCATATTAGATAGTACCAGCAGAGCATATAAATCACGTTGATTTATATGCTCTGGTACCAGTGTACGTTCCGGTATACAGGACTGCCCGGAGTGCGGGTTCCCGTTCAAGCACGCGCACTCGCTCGAGCAGCACATACGCAACATGCACCGCGGCGAAAAGCCGTACGCGTGCGCGGTGTGCCGGCGGCGCTTCGCGATCGGCGCCCACCTGGTCCTGCACACGCGCACGCACACGGGGGAGAAGCCGTACGAGTGCGGCGTGTGCGGCAAGCGGTTCGCGAACAAGAGCAACTGGCGCGCGCACATGCGGACGCACACGGGCGAGAAGCCGTACGTGTGCGCGACGTGCGGCGCCGCGTTCAAGAACAGCCAGCCGCTGCGCCAGCACGAGAAGACGCACGTAGCGGCGGCGGAGGCGGGCGGCGGGTTCCCGGCCGTGGGGGCGCCACCGGCGTACGCGTCGCCCGCGCTGGAGGCGCCGATGGTGGGGTTCGCGAACGTGTGATGGCGTGGGGGCGCCACCGTCGCTGCATCGAGCGTGGGGGCGCCACCGTTGCTGCAGCAAGCGTGGGGGGACTGACGGTGGGGGGAGACAATAGGGCTGAGGGATGGGTGGTGGGACAGTAGGGATGGGTGGTGGAACAGTAGGGAGGGTGACAGTAAGGAAGGGGGGGGGACATTGTGGTAGCAGGGGATTCGGTGTGGGAGGGGTGTGGGCAGGTGAGAAACCATGGTGGTGCGATGAATCAGGGAAGATATGGGGGGGGAGAGTGCGGAGGGAGCGGTGGCATTGCAGAGAACTACTGCTGGGTTGTACGTAAATGTTGTGGGTGCTAGATAAAAGTTTTCTACGAAGTGCCAGAGAAGTAGAGGAAGGCAGAGATGTCCCTCTTTAAAATCGCAACGTTTATCGAATATGTCTTCGAGATATGAAACTTGCTGTAGTTATATGAGGTACCTTTATGAGATCTTCCCTTATTTATTCACAGTGGTAGCAGTAGTGGAAGAGAGCAATCGATATGCAACAAACAGGAAGGAGATTTTTTATCATGTTGTTTCCAATCGAAATCCAGTTTTCCCATTTGACTCGCGAGTGTTCACGCATTCTCCTAGCATCTGTGCGTCAGATACCAAATGGTTGGTGGCGTGGGAATCGTCAGCGAATAAATCGTTATAGGCTATGAATAAATACTCAACGATCATGATCATGAGAGAGACATTGTTCGTGATCAATGTCATGACAAGACAATTAATGTCATGTCAACATAAAGATAATGTCCCGATGTCAGCGACAATGATCATGATCCAAGACTGATCAGACTCGATGCAGCTATTGCACAGTGTTGCGTAGAGGATAAACTAAGCGTTCCCATGGAGACGGGACTCTTAAGTGTGAAGCTAGTCTGCAAGGATGCGAAATGCAAGTAGAACTACTAGTAGTACTGGTACTAGTTACCAGTAACAGTACACATTGAATCTATTATCCGAAACCCTTCCGAACCAGACACGTTTCGGAATTCGGAATGGTAGTACACTGTACAGATATACATAACTGAGGGCAAACAAACAACATTTTTATTATGGCCTCAGTTTGGTAAATTTTTTATTTCCTGTGCGGCGATTATGCAGTCGCCCCGCCGGACCAGCTGACACGAGCAAGCAGTCGCCTGGTCGATTTTCTAATCGCCACTGGCGACTGGGCGACCGCTAGTTTCTCACGCTGACTGCTCCGTTGCCAAGTATTGTTTTTACTGCTCTTTTACTTTAACATCCTATCGCAAGAATGACTGGCTGGAGATGCCAGTCAAGTAAGCTATGGTGAACTATAAGTAACGCTGATAGGGTCTATGTCTCCCAAGGTACTGCCGGAACGTACCCTGGGTACGGTCCGGTATACCGGAACGTACCCTAGCTGGTAACTATCTGATATGCATGCAGCATGGTTAGGGTTAGAGTTAGGGTTAGGGAGTAGGCGTAGGTGACTCCCTAGACTCGTTAGTGGAGTAGGCAAGGTACGGTCCGGCATATTAGATAGTACCAGCAGAGCATATAAATCACGTTGATTTATATGCTCTGGTACCAGTGTACGTTCCGGTATACAGGACAGTACCCAGGGTACGTTCCGGTAGTACCCTGGGGTACATAGACCCTCTCAGCATAAGTAACTAAGTAAACTATAATCTTACGATGTGTTATCAGTTTCGCCCAGGGCAGGTGTGTCACGCCTTGTATTGGCTTGTTTACTCACTGCAGTCATTGACATTGTCATTTGGCTGACTTACGAAGACGCTCATCGTGATATTCGTGGTATTTTCTCTATTCAGACACAGCTTGACATACATGCGGGAATCGTGTCTGCGCGTGCAACAGTGCATTTGTTGATGAAGCAACAAAGACGATTGGAGTCAGTGTAATTCGATACGAGAATTTGAATGTTGATGATGAAACATGACTCTTGGAACGTGAAAATAAGTGTTCAACGTTGAAGACAACGATAAACTAATTACATAGAATAAGATAATCACATATAAACATCTAAATCTTCACGAGACTAGGGTAACCGTAGATGCCGACGTATCCTTATTATTACATAATACGTATTAACTTGGAACGCTGTACTTACTAGTACTAGTTCGAACGCTAATGGACGCGGCCATTTTTGAATAAATGAACAGCTTCCTAGGGGGCGCGAAGTCGCTCAACTCGAAGTTAGTACAGAAAATGGGGCCTTGTGCCGAAAATGTACCTACATGTATTTCTGTAGTTACTAGGGTGTAGGTTGCTGTATTCATTCGAATCTCTGCCGTTATATCTGTAATCTTTTGACGGCATATCGCATAGGAGTAGATCTATGCTAAACAGGACGGAACGAACGTGATCAAACCATTGGCATGCAGGTAAAGGCAAGCTCAGTTGAAGCCTGAAATTTAGTCAACACGGATTCATTCTTCTGATTCAATGTCACAATGACACTGGTCATGACTCATTTCTAAAATTTCTAGGAACATATAAAACACATGTGTTAGCTATGATTTCTGTGATTTTTGAGTTTATTGAAGCACGAATAGTGTAATTAATTACCAGAAA